TCATGGTCTCCATTCTTGCCTCGGACTCTGCAATAGACTTCTGCATCCATGGCTTCACATGATGAACAGTGTGGCCATTTGTGACTCCAATATCTGAACTCGGGCCAAGGGTACAACAGTAGCTCCAGAAGGTGGGGTGGCTCTGGACGAGCTAGGAGCCCTACTGGCAGCTTGAGATGGGGAGCCCGGGGTATCATTAATGTGGGCTGGAGGGGAAGGATCATCACCTTGTATCTGCTCCACATCAACTATTAAATATGCTCCTAATGGGGGCACGCAATCTGTGGGCCACGTCGTGGAAGTGAGTGGGTCCTGGGCCATGGGCTTGGCCCGTCTATCGATAGATTCCCGAAGTGTGGCAGCATTGGAAGCATAGAACTCCCTCACAATCTCCTCGCTATCAGTCCCGGGGTTCCGAGCCATCCAATCGAACTTGTATTTTTGGAAGAGCCAGTGGATGTCGGGTATGGTGTGTAGGCTCCCCATAAGAACTCTGCGCTCCTCAGTGATTTGTCGGGCCTTCACCCTCTTCTCATTCCACATCAAGGCGTCTCTGTATATCTTCCATTGACCCTCTCTACACCACCTATTAGGCTCCTCAGCAACCGAATGAGGGTCTATGTTTGGTGGCACAGAAACCATCCCCAAACTAATAGCCTCATCAGACAAGGAAGCTTGGCTTTGCAAACTTGGGCCTGTGGCAAATCTAGAACCGAAGCCGGAAGTAGAGGCGGACTCAGAGCCGAAAGTAGAACCAGTCGTAGAGCCAGAAGCAGAACTAGCTCCGATTAGTGTGTTCTCCTCATCAGACTGAGAAATAGTGACTATGTCGGTGAAAACCTGCCGAGATTGATTCTGTGTAGCACGAGGTGCAGTAGGGGATGTCCTTATGGTCGGTGGAACATATGGGGGATCCTTCTCCGCATTTGTGTCTTCATTAATCAGCCTAAAAGTTGGTGCCACGGATTTTGTTTTGCCCCTCTTTGTGTCGGTTACTTGTTTCTTAGGAGCCATGGTACCTGTGAATCTATAATTAGTACCAAAATAAACCCATAACACACTCGAAAAATTCTTAGAACTAAGAACGAACCAAAAGGGAAACAACAAAAAAAAATTCAGACAGTGGCTTCAAAGGCCACCTACGGTGGGTATCTACGGTATGTAGGTGGACCTACGATCCGTGGATCCCCTTCATAGATCAGAAGTCCCAAATAAGTGGCCTCTGATGGGAACCACAGATGTTCAGAACGGTCCGCAGATTGACCTACAGACCGTAGTCCACCTTCGTGGTTTCACACTTAGTGAAATTTCTATGTGCGACCAACCACGAACCTGATCTATGGTCCGTAGATTGACCTACGGTTCGTAGACAGGGTCTCGTAGATTAGGTATGTGCCAGGTACAGACTTGCTTTGATTCGAAACAATGTTTAACCAATTTACACAATTTCCCTTAGTCTAATCATGCATTTTAACACAATTTATGCTAGTTCGTCATTCTAAGGGTTCCAATTACTTAGTTTTTGACAAGTATTGCATACAAGACTAGGAACCCTAAGTCGAAACTTGCATTTAGACTATTATTGCACTGATGATAACGACACTACAATCACAATCTATCGTCCCAAGGGTGATTCTAAGTTTATTTTATCATACAATTTCATATACTAACAACCCAAGGTCAAGAACCATTTCCTAACTTTCTAACACAACTATGAATTGAAATTCAAAGTGAAGGGAAAGTCGATTACTTTACAAGAAACAGAAGTGGGTGATTGTGTGATGACTCTAGACTTCCAACAACCTTTAACTCGCCTTTCACGCCGAACCCGGACACCAGAACTCTGAAAATAGGGATGACGAGATTTATGGGGAAAGGAGAGTGATTTGGGAAATGGGAGGATGAATGTACAATGATTACAGGGTGAGTGGTGGTAATATGGAGGGATTTTAGGAATTTTATGGGTTTATAAACAGTTAGGAGGTAATATTAGAAGTGGGAAATGATTTGCAAATGGGGGAATTTTATTTAAAAGGAGTCCGGGTCGGGTAAGGCAGAACTAGGGTTTGGACCCACGAGACCCCATCTACGGTCCGTGGGTCGACTTACGGTCCGTAGATGGGATCAGTAGGTCACCCTCACACTTAGAAAATTTAGAGAAACATACCTGGGATCTATGGACGCCATTCACGGTCGGTGGAATGAACCACAGACCGTAGATAGGGTCCGTAGATCTCTGCAACAGACTTTTTCTGCAGATTTTTCTTTTCAACCCTGCACATATAGCAACCGTTAGGCCTTTCTTTTTACATTTTCTGGACACTTTGTAGACACGGACCCTATGCTATATCTAGCCAACACTTTAAAAAAAATAAAGCACCTATCTAAAGGAATATAGAAAAGCAACTAAACAAAGGAAACTACTAAACCAAAAAGAAAAACATATAGTCGGCTAGATTGTACATCTTGAGTTGCTTCCCAAGCAGCACTTAATTTAACGTCGCGGCACGACGCAGGCCTCTTGATTACTCACACTTCATCAAGATAGTAGGCCTCAACAACTTCTTGCACACTTTCTGCGTTTCCCGGATAGATCTTAATCCTTTGCCCGTTTACTTTGAACCTTGTTCCCTCACAATTTTCAAGCTCCACTACTCCATGTGGGAGCACTTGAGTGACTAAAAATGGCCCGGTCCACTTGGACTTGAGCTTGCCCGGAAACAAGCGCACCTTGAATAGAAGCACATGATCACCTACAACAAATTCTCGCTTTTCAATGCTTTGATCATGATACTTCTTCATTTTCTCCTTGTACAAGGCTGAACTTTCATAAGCTCTTAGGCGAAACTCATCAAGCTCATTTAAGTCACTCATTCTTTGATTTAATGCGGCGCCCTAATCAAAATTTAGCTTCTTTATCCCCCATATAGCCTTATGCTCTAGCTCTATCGGCAAATGGCAAGACTTCCCATATACAAGTTGGTAGGGGGACATACCTATGGGAGTCTTGAATGCGGTGTGATAGGCCCATAGAGCATCATCTAGCTTCCTTGACCAATCCATTTTGTTAGCATTCACAGTCTTTGCCAAAATCTACTTGATCTCTCTGTTGGACACTTCAACTTGCCCACTAGACTGCAGATGCTAAGGAGTGGCTACATTATGGCGGATGCCATATCTCTCAAGTAACGCCTTGAACAAATTATTACAAAAGTGGGATCCTCCATAGCTGATAATCGCCCTAGGTGTACCAAATCTGGAGAAAATATTCTTTTTCAAGAATGCAGTGACACTTTTACCTTCATTGTTGGAAAGCGCAATTGTTTCCACCCACTTCGACACATAATCAACTGCAACAAGAATATACTTCATCCCATGTATACTCACAAATGGACCCATAAAATCAATGTCTCATACATCAAACAACTTCTATCACCAATATAGGATTCATAGGAATCTCTTGCCTCTTTGACATTCCTCCTTCTCTATGGCAACGGCCACAAGACTTGGTGAAATCATGAGCATCTTGGTGGATGGTAGGCCAGTAATACCCACACTACAAAATTTTATGCGTAGTCCGAATACCACTATGATGCCCACCAACAGGCGATGAATGGCACGCCTCTAGTATACTCAACATCTCGACCTCGGGAACACAGATATGAATAATCTCATAAGCACAACTACAATACAAATAAGGTTCATCCCAAAAGAACTTCTTCACATCATGCATAAACTTTTTTCTTTAGTGAAAAGACAAATCCGATGGCACCAGATCACTTGCCAAATACTTAGCAAAGTCTGCGAACCAAGGAATCTAATAATGAGAAGCAACCAATACCTGTTCATCCGAAAAAGCATCATTAAATTCAGCCCTATCACCAAGCTTGAGCATAGTTTCTTCCTCCAATCTAGACAAATGATCGGCAAACTGATTTTCTGTCCCCTTTCTATCTTTCATCACAAAGTCAAACTCTTGCAGCAATAATACCCATCTAATCAACCTCGGGTTTGCATCCTTCTTAGCCATCAAATACCTCAATGCAGAATGGTGAGTATGCATAATGACCTTAGTACCAAGCAAGTAGGATCAAAATTTCTCGAATGTAAAAACCACTCAAGAAGCTCTTGTTCAGTCACTATATAGTTATTTTGAGCCATATTTAGAGCTTTGCTAGGATAATAAATAGGATGAAGAATCTTCTCTCACCTCTGTCCCAATACCACGCCAAGCGCCACTCCACTCGCATCACACATTACCTTAAACGGTTGTCCCCAATCCGGCGAAATAATGATAGGTGCAGTAACTAGCTTTTCCTTCAACTCTCCAAATGCTCTCAGACAAGCATCATCAAAATCAAACTTATACTCTTTTTCGAGCAGTTTGACCAATGGATGTGCAATTTTGGAGAAATCCTTGATGAACCTCCAATAGAAACCTACATGCCCAAGAAAACTCCTAACACCTTTAACAAAGATAGGTGGTGGAAGGCTTTCTATTACCTCAACTTTCGCTCTATCAATCTCGATACCCTTCTTGGAAATCCGATGACCCAGAACTATCCCTTCTTTTACCATGAAGTGGCACTTCACCCAATTTAGCACAAGATTGCACTCTTCACACATTTAAGCACCTCGGCCAAATTGTCAAGACAACGATCAAAAGAATCACCTACCTTAGAGAAATCATCCATAAAGACCTCAATAGTGTCCTCCACCATATCAGAAAATATTGACATCATTCAACGCTGAAAGGTCGTAGGAGCATTACACAATCCAAATGGCATTCGTTTGAAGGAGAAAGTCCCATAAGGGAAAGTGAAGGTGGTCTTCTCTTGGTCTTCCGGAGCTATGGAAATATGATTGTAGCCCGAATAACCATCGAGAAAACAATACCAACCCTTACCAGCAAGTCGATCCAGCATTTGATCCATGAATGGAGTAGGGAAGTGGTCCTTTTCTTACCAAGCATTCAATTTCTGGTAGTCCATGCAGACTCTCTATCCAATCACGGGCTGCATCAGAACAAACTCCTTTCTCTCATTAGGTACCACAATAATCCCACACTGAACATGACACACCCAACTACTATCTGCATTGGGATAAATAACTCGAGCATCCAGCCACTTGATGATTTCCTTCTTAACTACCTCTTGCATAGGTGGATTTAGTCTTCTGGTGCTCAATACTAGGCTTGTGATCCGGCATGAGTTGAATTTTATGAGAAAAAATACCAGGAGGAATCCCAATAATGTCCGCAATAGTCCACCCAATAGGTTGCTTAAACCTCTTCAACACGGAAACCAATACCTAAACTTATGCCATATTCAAATCTGCTGCAATGATGACCGGTAAAGTACCATCTCTCCCAAGAATACATACCTCAATTATGATGGTAGAGCCTTAAGCTCCAATTTCGGTGCCTCCTCAACAGACGGTCTAGCAGGTGGAGAGTCGCGATTTTTTATGTCTAGCTCCAATCGTTTTGGTTTTGAACGTAATTCAAACATATCAAGTGCGGCGACTAATTCATCATAGTCTTCAATACCATCACTATCGAAGTTCATCATTACCGTTGCTAGTGTATCAACACCCAACCTCTCTTCAATAGACACCTTAGAACCACTCTCTACAATATGTGTCACCATAGATACCGATTTGAGCTCACAACTCTGCTTCATAGATCTAGAGATGTTTAATGTTGCCTCTTCATTGTTCAATCGAAACTTCATCTGCTCTTTCTCCATATCAACCAAGGCACGCCAAGGGGCTAGGAATGGTCTTCCAAGGATAATGGGAACCTCAAAATTAACATCACAATCCAGTGTCACAAAATCCGTCAAAAAGATAAAAGACTCCATTTTCACTAGTACATCTTGGAGCACACCAATGGGGTTCTTTATAGTTCTATCGGCCATAAGCAGTCGCATCGCGTTCAGTTTTGGATCCCCAAAACCCAACTTCTTGTAAATAGCCAATGGCATCAGATTGATACTAGCACCCAAATCACACAAAGCCTTTGCAAAATGTAGCAACCCAATGGTACAAAGAATAGTGAAAGCCCCAGGATCATCCTTCTTCTTCACAAGGGACCTTATAGCAATAACACTATAATGTTGCAACTTATCATCATCTTCAAAACTCAAGGCCCATTTTTTAGTTACCAAATCCTTTATAAACTTCGCATACCTAGGCATTTGGTCCAAAGCTTCTATCAATGGCACATTGATGGAAAGCTGCTTCAACATACTAATAAACTTGCCGTATTTGCCTTCTTCAGTCTTTTTCACTAACCTCTGTGGGAAAGGGGGTGGACGTCTAGGCATGGGAATAACTTTTTGAGTTATCTCCGCTTCCTTCTCTATTGCATTCTCGGTGTAACACCCCCGAAATATTTTGAGCTAAGACTTGAACCATCCTTCGTAGTGAGTAGGATTTTTCCGAGGCATTAAAACTTCTAAAGTGTTAAGTTCAATAGATGTAGTACATTGAATTCGAAAAAGAACTAAATTGAAAATAGCAAATTCTGAAAATTTACAAGTTAAGCTAAGTATGAGTTTTGGGTCGACTTCAAATGACCATAACTTCTAGCTCAAGATGTGTTAGGTGTGATAACATATACCGTAGGAAATATCTTTGAATTATCTTTCCAAAGCCACCGATTTTTCTCAGTTTCGAGTTCATATGAGGGAGATATGGCCTTTTGAAGTTAGGCTACCCAGTTAAGGAAAGTTTACCGAAGATAGTAAGGGGTATTTTAGTCTTTTCCTTACCAAATCAGATTTAATTCGATTTTAGTAAGGTTTTAATGGTCTAATACTATTGGGTTCAGTTTTATAATCCTAAAATACGCCTAGGGTGTTAGTTGAGAGTTCAAGAAGAGAAAAGTGGAGAAAAGTGAAGAGGATCAAGCGTTCGTCGAGATTCTTGCGCGTTGTAGTGGATTTTTGCCATGGGATTTTTCCCTAAGTGGTATGTAAGCTTTCATAGTGTTGGGTTTGTTCACCCACACACTAAACATATTTTTTTCAGCGCAAATTTAATTCTTTAAGTTGAAAGATTTGAGTTCTTGATAGGTGTTCTTGAAGTTCATTATAAATCTTGTTGTGATGGGTTTTGAATGATTTCTTGAGATAAAACTGAGTGTTTTGAGTAGATTATAGTGTACTTATGTTAAATAATCAATTCTAAGTGATTGGGGATGAAAGCGTTCGATTCTAGGTGAATTAGGGTGACAACTCGAACAAAGAATTTCGTCAAGTCTTCTGGGTTGGGGCCTGGTGCGTCGCGCCAGCTAGAGCGCCCAAAAGTAAGCTCTGAAGTTTAGGGTCTAGCAGTCCGCGTCAACCATAGCCGCAGGGTTGCCTACCCCATCCAGTTTGCAATTGGTCTCGTTTGAGTTCTTTCGAAGGGCACCTTCACTTTTTTTCGATGCTAACTACTCTAAACTACTTCTAAACACCTAAAATAATTCCTAACATGATCATAACCTTGAATTCATAATTTAAATTCAAGGTAGAGTTGAGAGTTAAGTTTTGAGAATTCTTTCGAACATTCTAAGAAAGTACCTTCGAGTCCTTTTGTGGAATCTTCTACAACTTCTAGTAACTTGTTTCAAGACTCGAGCAAGTGAGTATGAGGATGAAGAGAATGTATTCATGAGACTACCTTGTCATCATGAGATCCTCCATGTCATGAACCAAAACTCTTGAATTCATAATTCACATTCAAGAGAGAGTTAATAGTAGAGTTCAAGAAAGCCTTTCAGTTCAATTGTGAATTATTTGAGATCCATCATTTATTTGAACTAAGTTTTGAGGAAGTAAGTAAGATAATGATAAGAGTTGTATGCATGAGTTCCATGTAGTTATGTAGACCTTCGAGTCGAGTCGTTCATGCCCATAAATTCCGCATGTACTCCACAAATTGAGTATCATTGAGAGGAGTGGTATTTTCAAGTTCTAAGTATTGAGTAATAAGTTTCTACAACATTTGAGTTTATATTTCTAATCATTGGACTACTACATGTTACCCATGAAGTCCTTGAGTTGAATTGTTCATGCCCATAATTTTGCATGAACCTTATAAGTCGAACAGTCTTGAGATGAGAAGTATTCCTTCAGCCATTCATCATCAATGCAGTGATTTGGGACACCTCTTATGAAAGTAGTGAACATGTCTCAAGAACTACTCACAGACTCTCCAGCTAGTGCTACAAAGTTGTTGAGTTTATCTTTGTGGTTCAGCTTCTTTGACACGGGAAAGTATTATGCCAAGAACACTTCAGTTAATTGTCCCCATGTGTAAATTGAGTTTTAAGGAAGCTCATTAAACCACACAGCTGTATCGCCGGTCAATGATAAAGGGAATACTCGCAATCCAATGACATGTATGTCCAAGTCTAGTCGACCCACACAACTTTTGCAAACACTCCTCAGCTTGGTTACGTGTGCATGTGGAATCCTCAGAAGCCAAAACCAACAAACAAACCCCTCGCTGTAAGCATCTGCATCAAACTGCTAGTCATCTCAAATGTATGCCCCGGAGGTAGAGGGGGTAGGACAAGCGGTCCTTCAAATTCAACGGCATTAAAGTTGACTCTATAGTTATCACGCAGTTGGTGGATCATGTACCCTCAATGCATCTCTCAGTAGATTCTCAGCTTGAACCTAATTATTCTCATCACCAACCCTCGGAGGCTGCACCCCAACTCCATCACCTAAATTTCCTCCTATAGGATTGATTGGGACTCCTTGGTTATTCATTCTTTGCAAAGTTCTGTTCAATTCTGGATCGTAAGGAGTAAGAGGTTCACCTTGGCTCCGTGTACTTGGCATACACTAGAGTAGGAACCTGAGAGAAACAAAAACGAAGAGAAAAAGTAAAATTAGGAAATATTTGACAAAAGTTCAATAATGTAGTTAAACTTAATCTAAAAGCCTTATTCCCCGGCAGCGGCGCCAAAATTTGATACGCTTAATTACACCTCCCTAAAGAAGTGTAAGAGATCATTATCAAGTAAAGAACCCAACTTGGAGGTTGGGGTCGATCCCACGAGGAATATGGTCTAGACTTAAGTTCAGCTTACGATTATATTTGCTTAGTCAACGTACTTCCGAAATAAATAATTAAATGGCGGAGGGATTTGTGAAACAAATTTTGAAAGTAATGTGAACAATTAGTAAGCAAGATTCAAACTTTTGTTGTTATCAAGATGAGAGAGAAACTAGGGTGTACGTGTTCTCCATAAGCTCATAACGCGGTAATCCTAATAATAGTAATCCTTTCCTAATGTATTACATGCAAAGTGATAAGTTAGGTATCTCTAATTCCTTGGTCCGGCTACGTGTGTATAATTTACTAACCCTTACCTTTACCTCGTATTAGACATCACATCGATGTATGGCTTAGTTTTCACCTTCGCACCAATCGACATTAGATTATTAGATAGTATCACACTAAATCTATGTTGATAATTATTTTCTTATTAACTACTTCATTGGTCTGGCAAGTAGCAACAAGGCGAGTTATGACGCGTGCACTCGTTGAAAAGACTTCTAAACGAAAGAATTATGAATACATGCAATAACACTATTCGAGAATTACTTAGTTACTATTCATACATTGTTATTCGCTCATGGTTCCCACAACCCTAGTTGTAGATTTAGTTACCCATAGTAGCAAGAACACAATTCATATTTTTAGATGAAGAAATCATGAACTTACGTAATGAGAAGAATAAACCCAGAATGTCAACTTGAATTTCAATGTCAAAATCTTCAAAACGAACTTAGGAAATCAAGAATTGCTAAAATTGCAAGTTAATCTCCAATGCCAAAAACTAGAACTAAAATAACAAAGTCTAACCCCCAAAAATGAGGTTTACATACCCTATATATAGAAAAACAAGTCCCAACTAAAAAGGAAACGAAATAAGGAACTAAAGTTTCAGGAAGCGATTTCGATCTATGACATTGACCTACTGACTGTGGACTAACCTACGATCTGCAGGTCCCTTCCATGACTCAGGACTTAGGCATTTATTCCTACTTCAGTAGAGACCGGGTTTCTTGTAGAAATCTCCTTATGCCTTACATATGTTCCCACATAGGATGATTTTCTAGATTTCCATTAGCTTGTGGATCCACTTTAGCTCAGATTCATGGTTCTGCCTTGGCAAGTAGGACAACCCTTTTTGGTGTGGGAGACATTGGGGGATCATGTTATAGCTCACATGGTCTTTATGTCGGTTAAGGTTCATTCCCACATTAATAATGAACTAACGCTACTTCAAGAAATATTGCATATGAGTTCAAAGGTTTAAAAGATGATGTTCAGTTGCATTGATCATGGTTTTATGACTTATGGTTTCTAACTCTCAAAATACATGTTTTAGCTTGATCATTGCATACTTATGAAAAGGTCCCTTTTTAGCATGATTTAAATATTTTATGCATGTCTATCATACTTGGTACATTGTTTTGTACTAACGCATAGTCTTGCCTACATTTTCCCCAAATGTAGGGTCTGACAGTCAAGTTTCTAAGTTTCATGGCTTGTGGTTGATTTCGAGATTTCTGAACGTTGGTGAGTCCTCATGCTTCAAGGATGGAGTTTACTGTTTCACTTTCTTTCATGTATTTCTCCTTTAAACATGATGTATGGGCTAGGCCCAATTTCATTCTATTGTATTAGATGGCCACGATAAGACAAGAGTTTATACTTCCGTTTTTCATTTTATAAAATGTTTTGGACTTGGTCTATTGTTTTACTCTTATTGTTCTATTTCTTATGTTATGAAAGCTAAGGGGCTTGTATGGAGTCCTTCGGGTTTCTATACGCCATGTTACATCTAGGGGTATCCCTAGATCGTGACACCCAATTCCAACTCCAGCACCACAAGGTCAGCCTACTCCAGCGGCTCCAGAGGTTCATCCTCCACCAGCACCAGCATCTGCTCAGCCGGATGATTTCGATGGAGTCATGTCACTACGAAGGCAGAAGATGCTCGGGGTGTCTATGAGATTGTCACTGCCGAGGTTTTCTGGGTATCTTGTGTAGAATTCTGATGAGTTTGTTACTAATTTCTGAGAGCGACTACATGCTTTGGGATTGGTAGAATCGAGAGGAGCCGACTTCACCACTAATTAGCATGATGGGCCTACGAGATAGTGGTGGCATTCTTACTTAGAGACCA